TAAGATAATATTCCAATAAGAACATTACCGTTATATTATATGGTTTTGCAAAAAACAAACTTTTCCAAAATAAGAGAGCATAATTAAAAAGTGAACGCACCAGTTACGAAGAGGGGACGGATCCAGTGACGGACACGTTGGACTTTTAATATAAATATTAAGATTCCTTGTTGATTTAAAGGTTCAAGTTTTTTCTAGATTGAAGAACAGATCCCTCTATTGACAAATGTATGAACAAATTTCCCAAAAGAAAAATTGAAAATGCCTATCATTGTTGTTTCTATAGTGCTCTTGAGATCAGTGTGTTTCTTAATACCTTCCTACTAACAGTTTTGCTAGCAGTATTTATGTTATCTATTTTTTATCGTTATCTTTATAGTTAGATAAAAAATTTTGAATTTTTTTAAGGCAGGTCCACTACTGGTGCCGATCCCCTGTCAATTACTGGAACAATTGAATTTCAGGGTGTCCATCACTAGTACAAAAAGGTGCGTTTTTAAATGGAGATTATAACTGCATAACTGAATATTTTTTAAATTTTAAAGTGTTAAACAGAATAAGGATATCCTAGAAATTCTAAATGTCCATCGGAGAAGTTTATAACTATAATAATTAATGCGGCATATGTCAAAAATTTCCTTAGTCAAAAATGTTTATCACTAGTAAGCTTACCCTAATTTGAAACACTGATTTTATTTAATACAGAGAATTTTTAGGATCTATTATTGCGCTACAAAATTCATTAAAATAAAATAAAAAAATCAAGACATAAAATCCTTGAAGATTTACAAGATTTTTTTCACAAGCATGAGTGAGCCTGCTCACACTTAATAGCTGTGATGTCATTACCGAAGATAACCGAAGGGCGACAGAGGCCATCAATCCAGAGCCCTTACAATATGGCGCTAATGGTTGTTTTTACACGGCGGTGAGGGCCCTAAACCCTTAAACCCCCCTCGGCTAATTGAGTTAATAATATGCAAAACCCTTTCATTAGCCTGATGGTCCCGCAGACCATTCATCACCCGGGGCCTCCTCCGTCTCCTTTAGGACTGTCCTCAGCAGCTCTAAAGGCGGACCAAGTGAGAGGGGAATTCTGGAGATGGCCATAGACAGTGACGCAAGCAGTGAATTAAGTATGAACTCGGGCATTTCATCATCGCAATAATCTAAATATAGGACACAAAGCGGCCTTCATACGAGTGATATTGGGTTAACTGGGCGAGTGGACAGTAAACTGGAAAGTTTCTATGATACGAATGTCAGAGGAATGTATCTGTTACACTATAGTGCTCCTAGCGTCAACGTGCGTGAAAGAGAATGAAAAAGGATAAACCTATCAGCAGGTCATTTCATGAAAAGCGAGAAAAACATTAATCCTCAAGACGGTAATTTATAAAATAAAGATTGAAACGTACTAATCGGATTTTTAAAAATGGTTGCAGTATTACCCACTACACTAAAAATTCAAAAGAGGTTGTCATAAATATCTGACTTAATTTCCAATGTGAATCCATATTAGATAACGTATTTTATGGACAGGTTGTGGTATTCAAGACATGTTGTGTCTATTTAATACTCAGATATAAAATTATTTTAATTTCGTTTCAATCCTTTAATTCAAAGATAGAAAAAATTCTACAAACATAATTTTTCATCTTGCTAGATAAAGTAAGATGTAGCAAAAGAATGATGATAGATATAGAAAAAGAATGACAGAGAATATAAATATTAAAAGATTTCACATTTCATGAAATCTGAGAAGCGAAAGAATTCAAAACGGATAACTTTAAAAGAAGAAGAAAAGTAAATTTTATTCTGGGGCATTCAGTCCCCTAAGAATAATTATAATGTACAATTTGGTGACATTTGTCTGACATAAGAAGAGAATCAAGAATTATTCTAACATAAGAATTAAATTACATGGTTATCGAGCCTTTAAATTAAAATGCTAGAAAGGCACAAGTTAACATTTGTATTACATATATGTATATATTATTATTTTTTTTTTTTTTCAGTTGGCTCTACAGACCTAGTAGATCTTAGGCCGCCTGAACCAGCCTTCTCCACCTCTGCCTATCTTGGGCTATTGCTTTCCAGTTTGCGGCATGAAGCCCAGCCGTATCTTTGTTTATCCTATCTTTCCATCTGGTTTTTGGCCTTCCACGTGATCTCTTGCCTTCTACTCTGGCACTCATTGTCGTGTAGAGGCGTCCTGATGGATTACTACGAGCTACATGCCATGCCCATCTTAACCTCCTTGCCTTCATATCATGAGATATTGACTGACCTGTTTCTTTCAGCAGTTCTTTATTGTTCCTTCTCCTCCATGTGTCAAGGTTCTGGTCCTATATAGGTCTTGTTATCCTACGTAGAACTTTTCTTTCGAATCTATCAATTCTGGCTTCTAATGTGCAGGTTAGAGCCATATATATATATATATATATATATATATATATATATATATATATATATATATATATACATACAGAAACAGGTTGTAATATTTATTAATAAATGAATTCTAATAAGTCACAAAGCAAAAAAAAAAAAAAAAAAAAAACCGGTATGTGTATTTCATTATTATATGCTCTTTACCCCTAAAGCATCCAAATTTAATAATGTCCATTAAAAACAATATTTTTAAATAATGGATTACAGATAATAAAATTTAAAAAAAACAATTAATCAAATGTTTTCAAATATACACTTCGGAAAGAAAAATTAAATTGAATTTAAGAAAAATCAAAAAGGTGTACAAATTCTTCTTGTATATCATCAGATGAAGGGATTCTTGTATGAAATTTATTAATACATTGCAGTATTTTATATATTTGATAATGGATAAGTAGTTCCAAATATAAAAACAATGTTGATGGTATATTGAAGGTCTAATTTAATAATCTTTTAACTATAAATCTAATTAATATTATTTTTAATTTGATCCCCTCCAAGGAGAAAACAAACAAATATGATTATTTTCAAAACAGTACATAATGAAAGGCTTAACCATAATATATCATTAATATCACCTCGCAACTAACATGTTTTATATATAATGTGCGCATATAACATTTAATTATCAAGAATGATAAAATGCTCTCACCTCGTAAGGATTTATTTTCCAGAATCGCTTATGAAGTTCGAAGTAAGAGCTTAAAGATAAATTTCATGTGGAAGTAAAACAGCGATAAACTTGTGAGGGGGCGCTATATTGAAAATTTATTTAAGTTTTCCAGAGTGTAGGCAGGATAAAAGCAAACACTGAAGGAAACCTAATTTCCGAAACTTTTCCACTTACACGACTCTCGTATAATTAGTTCTAATGGAAACGTCTCGTGGTTCTACGATGGAATGTAAGTTCTCCCTCTATATCTACGCACTTAAGTAGATAAATGGGTTAAATTATCCTATAAAAAATATAACATTATGTGTAATGTATAAAATATACATTAAATAAGTAAAAACATTATGTGTGTCACCTAGTGAAATAAAATTTCGAATTATCAAAATATCCGGTTAGTGTGAAAAATTGAATCACTGAAGACTTTGTTAATATTTAAAAAGATTTCTGAGTTATATTACTTTTTCGTTTTTTAAGGTTCAAAGGTTTTTAAAAAGTTTTGATAAAATATCAAAGCCATTATTTGATTTAATAACAAGTTAACAAATAGAGATCCGTTATAACAATAATTAATTAATTTAATAATTTTGTAGGTAATGATAAAATAATAAATTATAATCATAAACTTAAAAATAAGCTAAACAGCTTATTTATAACGAAAATAATATTGAAAATAAACAAATATTTAAGAAGTTCTGTAAGTACATTATAAATAAATATACTTTTCTCTAACGCTCTCAACAAAATAAACAGAGGTTTATAGTGTCAAATCTTCCATGTTAAAAGAAAGGAATCTATGTTTCAATATTTGTATTATGTATTTACCTATACATAATAATTAGTTTGGAATTGAAACAAACTATTTTATATTCGTAATTATTTTTAAAAAATGTATCATTTGATTTCGGATAGTAAATAATGGTAATCTAATGTTTCAAAAAATGTAATTATTTCTTAAATTAATACCTATGAATTCTATACTTGAGATATTTAGAGAGAACTTTATTTATTTTTTCCGCCTTCAACTTTAATCAGACAATCTAAGTTAAAAAAATTCTAATAAACAAATAATGTATTATTTATATTGTTATTCTTTTTTTCTGGATGATGATTATGTGATGTCGTTACTTATTTCTTATGAGTTACTTGTTGTTGTTATTTTTTAAATATAACTATTCTTTTATACTATTAGTAAATAATGAAATTATTAGTTATAAATAACAATATAGAGGATCAATAAAAAATTGACGAAAAATAAAATAAATTCAGTATAGAGAGGGTATAGATATTATTATTTATTTGTTTATCATCCGGTGTTTTTGTTGTTTATTATTATTATGATATGGTTTATTATTATTATTATTTCATCATTAGTTTGGTGTGGAAAAGTTCCACTTGCAGAGTATAGCAGAATATTTTTTTTTTCTCATTAGGAACCTTGCGCCAACAACTGTATTAATTCTAGGTACTTTCTTGTGAACTCTAAGAACAAAAGTGAGAGGAAAAAAATATAGAATAAAGTCATAACAATGAATAAAAAGATTATAACATTAGGTGCGTTGGATGATGGTCCGTTATGATTTATCCTATTTGTTCTGTTTTATTAAATAGTATCGATTATGCCTGATCAATATACTGGCTGATTTAGCAACTCAACACGGTCGAGCAGCCATATAATTTTCTTGTGCTTCTCTCGATTCTTTAAGATGAAATATATTATTACCATTTCAAGGTCAACGATACCAGAAGCAGAAATAACTGTCTCTTTCAGCAAAAAGTTTCGCGGTTTAAAAAGATTCTCTCTGACAGCCACCCCGTTTTCAATAGCAATCCTCACCTAGACACCAAATATTCGTAAGACAAATAAAAGCTTTACCTCTGAACGTTCATCGGATACTTCTTCTTCTTGAAAAGTTTCCATATGGGGTGACCTCCCGTTGGTTCTGGCACCATGGCGGACTCCATCTCCATGGCGAAGTTCCGAAGACTAGATGCTGAGATCGAGGAACATCTGTATATTCACAGGCGTCATGGTTATAAATAGATGCACTCGGAGTAAACAGGAGCAGTAGAGAGATACCACAATGTAAACACAAAGCTTCAGCTAATACACAAATACTTTAGTTAATTCTTCAGAAGTTTCTCAAAACACTCTATTTCGATCATATAAAGAAGGATGGTGATATTTTAACAGTGAATATCACTTGTTTATAATTACAGGATTGAAATAAACAAAAAACTTGAAATGTTGATTTCTAATCTTAAAACTATTAGAAGATACATAAAATCCAAATGTATCTCATTTCGATTACACTACGCTCGAAGGAGCCCCGATCCAATAAGACACAACAGAGACTGTATTCTGGACGAGTCCACTCAACCCCCACCGCTGGCCTAATGAATTAATCATAGAATCATGATGTAACCCTAGCCACGCGAACTTATTTGCATTTTCAGCAAAAAGAACGGCTCTTGAACTCAGTAATGAGACATTTTCTTTCTTATTATTCAGAAATTATATCTCATGAAGCAGGAAGAAATAACTATATATATCATTTAGTCGATAAATAAGATTATAAAAATAAATAAGGCACCGTGGTAAGTATTAAACATTGAAAAAAATAAATAAACAATGAACGTGTTTCATTTTAGAGAATTTTTTTTTTTTGCTTACCATTGAGACTTTTTACTTACAATTGAGTAAGGAAAATTCCGATTTAAATTCCTTGAATATCATAATCGGTTAACAGACCGCATCTCACATAATTAGTATTTAAACTTTATGGATATCTTAGATCGAAACGTAAATAAAAAAATAAAAAATAAAGTAGTGAAATGAAATGAAAACATTATTTTATTCTGAAATTAAAGTTATCTAAGAATAATAATAACATGGTACAAAACATTGGTCCATTAGTCTGGTTTGAAAAAATACAAATAGGCCATTTGAATGTTAATTTAAATTTCTATCGCAATAAAACTTGAACAGCAATAATGAACAAAGTAACACTTACAAAGTACATTTTATATGGTTTACATCTATACAAAGAAAAAATAAAAATAAAATAAATAAATGAAATCCAATAAAATAAAATAAATAAATAAAATAAAATAGAACTTGTAGATCAATTTTATTTTATTGAACAATCAATCAATTGTTAGTGAGCAGTTATAATTACAGAATCCAATAAGTATTACAAATGTGTGGAAGTTTGATAATAAAGTAGGTGGAGGAATAAGAGTTGTATGAAGGAATTTATGGACGAGGAATGCCGTATGGTGTGATAGAGAATTCCAGAAGGAGGTAGCACGAATGAAGAAGGATTTGAAGGTTGTAGTTTTATGAGAAGGGACATATAAATCATTAGGTCGAGATCTGGTATTAAGAGAGTCGATAGAAGAACGTAGAGTGAGGAGTTTCATGATATACAGAGGATTTTTGGCAGTGGTGTTGTGCCGAGTCGTAATCTCAGTGCTCCTCGATTTTGTTAAAAGGAAATCGGGAACAACCCGTCTGAGTTAAACGAGATAATTAGAGTAAATTAAAAAAAAAAAAAAAATCAATGGTTTTTGGAGCAATGAGAGGAAACAGAGCTTTTCCTTGGATTTTTTTTATATTCATATTTGTTAAAGCCGCATACTCTCATATCTTTGTTTTTTTAGTGTTATTTTTTTTCTCATCACTCACCGCTTTTAAGTGTTAATGATGGAAAGTTCATTTTTGTAAAAACTGAGGGATAATTGTCTCAGAATGGTACATTGTTTTATATTTAAGTTTGTTTTGCGATGCATTATCGCTTATTTATATGCACCAGCCCGGCAGTATTACCCGGTCTTAGGGATTAAGACCTCAAAATACGGCCGAAGCCAGTCTGGATCTAGCCTTTGTTGATATCAGGTCTATGTGTAGACGTCTACCTCCACCAGTCCTGACTCACCACATCTCACCAAGTGCCATTTTCGGAGATCAGCTGTTGGGCGCAGCTGAGTAATCGATCGAGATCGATACATATCGATACCACCCCACCATCGATTACTCGACAGCTAGACATCGAAAGGTAACCAGGTGGAACCTCCAACTTGGCTCATTTTGTTTTGCACTCTCACCATCACCAAGACATTTAAATATTAATTTGAATTGTTTTCTTCGCTAAATTAGTTATTCTTTTGGACAGTTATTTTTTTTTCTTCTGTTTTATCTATAATTTTTGAAGTTGAGTTTATTTATATTTTGTTATTAATGGTTAATTTTGTTTTATTTTCACTGGATATTGTATTTATCTTTTATTTTTCTCGTAGCTTTCCAGTATTGTTCATTTCAACTTTTGTATAAATTTATATCTCTTTTTATTTAATACAACTGTGTGAACATTCAAAAGGGGATTTTTATTTTCCATTTTTTTGCTTATTGAAATATTTTTATTTAATATTATTTTCTTGTGCATGCGTTTTTCACGTTTTACAGGTCTCATTTATTTACTCCTTTTGTCCCTCTTTTCCAACGTTTTTAATTTCACTCGAATTTTCCCCACCTTTGAGGAAACGCACCGGAGAAAGATTTGTACTTCAATTTTGAAGTAACCCTGGCCCCAACAATATTCCTAATTATATGGAAATAAAATTGAATTACTCAACATTTTATATAAGTAGAAAGACTTAAAAAAATCAAAACCGATTTTGGATGAAACAAATTGTCAGGATTTACAGTCAAGAATTTTTATTAGGTTAGCGAACGTTTCGACTCAAACATATCGGTCAACCTCAGGGGTGAAAATTACAAAATATAAAATAACATAAGTAAAATAATAAATATAAAAGTATAAGGTTAATAAGATTACAGAATAACAGTAACAAGATTAAATAAGTAAGATAAATATTAATAAGAGTTTACTTTTATATTATATTTTGTAATTTGAATCCCAACCAGCATGTAATTACGATGAACCCCATGTTTCTGTCGAAACGTCGGCTAACCTAATAAAAATTGTTGACTGTAAATTTTGACAATTTTGTTACATCCTAATAATTGATCAGTCAATTAATAAACCATTTATTTATTTTTGTCGTTCTGCGGAGCCTGAGAAGTGCATAAGAAAAAATAAATAAATCAATATGAAACTTAGTAGAATAATTCTGATATTTTTTTTAAATAAAAAAAAATAGTAAAAATTATGCTTTTGAAAATTTACAACGGAACAAATGATTTTAATTAAAAATTTTTTTTTTTTTTATACTGTAAGAAGGCTTGGCTTTTATAAGTAATGTTCTGATATGCTGGGTAACGACGTCGCAGAAATATCACAAATAGTTAGTAATAAATACTGTTCCCCAGAATTCATTTAAAATTTACTGTAAGAAAACATCCTACGAAGAAATGCGGCACTAAATTAAATTTGGAGGACACACTAATGAAACGAGTTCCTTGGAACCTGGAAGTCCACCAACTTGGCTCATATTTGTCAAGGGAGAGGACCTATATTGGTTTTCCTTCGTTCCGAACCAATCTCCAAACCTGAGGATATTTCAGGTGAGTTTTTTTTGAGGTTATATCGTTAGTTTATTTACATATGTATTTACCAAAGGTTATTACTAATATATATAAAAGAATACCATTGTATTGGAAAAAAAAATATTCACCAAATATTATTACTAATATATATATATATATATATATATATATATATATATATATATATATATATATATATATACATTTTTTTTTTTTTTTTCGGTTGGCACTATATACCATGAAGATCTTTGGCCGCGAGATGTGGTCTCCTTACAGACGTGTGATGCTTGCGGGAGCTCAGATAGCCTGGAGGGGGTCACCCAACCTCACGTTGCTACGACCATGGTTTCCATGGTGCAGCGGCAGGACACCCTATTCTATAAGTTTTATGTTTTTATTGGCTGTCATTTCCATTTATTTTTATTTCATTACAATTAATAGTCATATTTTTTTTAGCTATAAGAAACAGCGTAGCTATTGAACACATGTTTTATTGAATATTTCTGTTTTCTGTTAGTATATAGTGATTTTTAAATTTTTTTTTTTTTTTGAAAAAAATGCTAAGATATAATGTTTATACTTTGACATTATGGAAAGACAAATGGAATGAACTTCATGATTAATCCCATTTCACATATTTCACCACACCTACATTCCAGAATATTTTGTCTTAAATAATAAAAATAAACTACAGCAAGAACACAATATACCAAGAAAATATTTAATTAGCGTTTTGATTGACCTTTTAATTCCATAAATCTTCTGAATGCATAATTTCGTATCTTTTAATAGGTGTTGGTTAAGAAAAGTTTTTGAATTTTCCGTCTAAGAAATTTATCTGTTTATGGTGTACATAACAATGTAAAAAATTAATAGTTATGTCACTGCTGTTACTGTTGTATTTATTTTCTGAATAGTTATTATTGTTGTGTATATTTATTGTAAAATCAGTAATGCAAAAAATAAGAGATGGTTATTTTTAATGTTATTATATTTTATCAGGAATATGTTGTTTAAAAAAATGTAGACAAAAAATAATGTATTTTAAATAATAAAATACCAACTATTAACTTAAAACCAATTATCACTAAGCCAAATAAATTCAAAACAAGGCAACTTGATTCGGGAGCCTAAACACATTGTTTTGGTTGGATCTCTTGGGATTCTTGTCAACATTGTTGGTTTATTATTATTTTATCGAAAGTTTTTACTAATTTGTTTTAAGACTTTATACATTTATATTATTTATATTTTATTTTATTGGAGAGAGGGAGTTCTTCAATGGAGTATTCATACGTAAGTTGAAGTGGTATGAGGTTCACAACAGTGAGATACTTTCCCACTAAATTCCGTCACTCAAATAGCATTAATTTTAATTGTTTAAAATTATCAATTAATTTTGATTCATAACAAAAGTTAACTTTAAACTTTAAAGAATATCAAATTAACAGATAGTTCATTTTCTTATTTTTATTTCATTTTTAATTAAATATTTATAGTCAAACAATTTTCGAGAACAATGCAAGATAAATAAATTAGACACAATTCTGAAGTCTGTCAATTATAAAAGAGCATTTAAGTTCGGTTACGCTATGTTTCTAAGGCGACGGATCGATAGAACAATACTTAAAATTCAAGATCAACATGTAAGAATTAATCCTATTTAGTATCCTAATAACAATAATTGTTAATAATTAAATATTTATAATAATTTTCACCAACTCAAATAAATAAATTGTAGTTAAATACCTAAAATATTTAACAAGACAAAGATGATAGAACTTGATATTGTCTCGTTTACAGATCTTATTATATAAATA